TTTCCTTCCTTTTTTTTTTTGAAGTTGTGTGGAATGTAACATGACTTTTTTTTTTTTTTTGGAATTCAACATTTTTGAAGTTTCCTTCCTAACCTTTTTTTGTGTGGAATGTCAACATCTTGATCATGACAGTTTCCTTCCTAACCTTTTCTTTGAAGTTGTGTGGAATGTCAACATCTTGATCATGACAGTTTCCTTCCTAACCTTTTTTTTTTTTAAAGTTGTGTGGAATGTCAACATCTTGATCATGACAGTTTCCTTCCTAACCTTTTTTTTTTTAAAGTTGTGTGGAATGTCAACATCTTGATCATGACAGTTTCCTTCCTAACCTTTTTTTTGAAGTTGTGTGGAATGTCAACATCTTGATCATGACAGTTTCCTTCCTAACCTTTTCTTTGAAGTTGTGTGGAATGTCAACATCTTGATCATGACAGTTTCCTTCCTAACCTTTTTTTTGAAGTTGTGTGGAATGTCAACATCTTGATCATGACAGTTTCCTTCCTAACCTTTTCTTCTAACCTTTTTGAAGTTGTGTGGAATGTCAACATCTTGATCATTTTCCTTCCTAACTTTTTTTTTTTTTTGAAGTTTGTGGAATGTCAACATCTTGATCATGACAGTTTCCTTCCTAACCTTTTTTTTTTTTTTTGAAGTTGTGGAATGTCAACATCTTGATCATGACAGTTTCCTTCCTAACCTTTTTTTTTTTTGTTGTGTGGAATGTCAAATCTTGATCATGACAGTTTCCTTTCTTTTTTTGAAGTTGTGTGAATGTCAACATCTTGATCATGACAGTTTCCTTCCTAACCTTTTTTTTGAAGTTGTGTGGAATGTCAACATCTTGATCATGTCATCATTTTCTCTTTGCGTTACATGTGCTATCCAATTTAGTTGTTGCTGCATTTGAAAGTCTTTAAGCGATCTAGTTTCTGCTATTTGGTACATTTGTTTGTTTGTCATTCTGCCTCGATTGATTTGAAGGAAAATAGTTCTTGCTAAGACCTACAGGTTTCATTTAATCAAAGCCATATTTTAACCATCGTTCTAAGGAAGATGTTTTATACAGCTGACAGTTTAAATATTTCCCAACGAATATGGCATCATGCATAACATCCATATAAAATCATGGTCTGCTGAATATCTTTAATAGTATGAGTCATATTTTTAGTTTATTGTTTTGTAGCAACTTGTGGTGTTGAGAGACTATCCCTAGTGCAGTCTATTCTAACTTTAACTTCCTTATCTCTTATACTAAAATGGTTATAACTAATCCATATATTTGAATTGTTTAGTTTGTTCATGCTTATGAATACAGGGTGTCCCCAAAAATTTGACACCATTTTAAAAGAAATTATCTTGAAAACTACTAATTCTAGCTCAATGAAATTGAACAGTTTAGGTGTTAAACATCATAAGTTTATTATAGGACCGATTTAATTAGTGTTCAATATATGCATCGCCTGTGACACGGCACACGTCTAGTCGGTAGCTAAGCTCTTGCCAAACACGCTGTAGCATGTCTCCAGTAACATTATCCAGCGCGGAAATGATTCTCTGCTTGAGTTCATCAATGCTAGCAGAAAAAGGTGGAGGGACATAGACCAGTCCTTTCACATATCCCCATGAAAAGAAATCACACGGGAACAAGTCAGGTGACCGCGGCAGCCATTTCATCTCCACCACGCCTGATCCATCTCCCTGGCAGGTTCTCATTGAGATAACAATAAAACATCAAATATAAATATATATACATATTTGTTTCGATACATTCTGTGAAAATTTGAGGTTATTTCAACAAGAATTGCCAAAATTATTGGCCTACGAAATGATGTCAATTTTTTTGGGATACCCTTTATTTAGAGATTCTTGATAAAATTCAAAGAATCAGTGATATTATTGGTTCTGTTTTCTTTTTAATTTATATTACATTTTTATGTTTTTCTTTTTTATCTTTTTATTTTCCATGTCATTTTATTTTCTTTATTTTTTATTTTATTCTTAATTTTTCTCTCCCGAAATTATCTAACATATTTATAAATAACCAGTCATCCATTCTCGGCATATTGCTGTCACATATGGTCCAGTACTCCTATATATTTAGAAATCATTGATAAAATCAAAAGAAGAATCTGTAATGTTATTAGTCACAAGCTAGCATCTCAATTTCAGTCACTTTCCCACCGCCGTAATGTAGGTTCTCTGTGCCCGCCACTTTTTTTTTTATAAATAGTTTCATCATAATTCTTGTCTTCGCTATGTTACCGAGATATTTGAAGTGTTTAGTGTGTCCATGCTTCGAATTTTGCTGCTATGTATGGTATGGTGATTCTGCTATATAATTAGAGATTCTTGATAAAATCAAAAGAAGAATCTGTAATGTTATTGGTCCCAAGCTAGCATCTCGGTTTCAGTCACTTTTCAACCGCCGTAATTTAGCTTCCTTTTGCCTTTTCTATAAATCACTGGTGCGCCCTGAAAGATGTCTAGGTGAGCTCTGGCATTCCAGAGAAATATGTGTCCAGATATAAGAAATAAATATATTTACTTTATTATATTACGGTACCCGTCTCTCTCATATATATGTGAATTAAGCTTTTCTGCTCTCATCACAATTAAGTGTAAAAAGAGAGGAACTCTTCAATGTATTGAGGAGAAAATGAAAGTTTTCCTATCAAATATACGACCAAGCATTAAAGAAATCGCTAAGACGCATCAAGCTCATGTTTCTCATAAAAACAAGAATGAATAAACTTAAGGTATCTTTCATTTTATATATTTTTAATTCTTTTCTGTAATATTTGACTACATTATAACAGATTTTTCCGAAATTTGTGTATAGTGCGCCTAAAATTATTGGTAGGATTTCAAGTGCGTCCCGACTTCAAAAAGTTTGAGAACCACTGCTCTAAATACTTCCATTGTAATTGTTCTGATGAGCTTTTCCTCTATGATACCTAGACTTTATGTATGTAAGCGTAATACTAGATTGGCAACAAGGTTTCATGTTGAAATGGTTAGATGTAACCATAAGTTCTGTGCTAACAATTTCTTTTCTCACACTTCTTACTTGTGGAAATCTCTTCCGGCTTCTTGCTTCGCAGTTTACCTTAATCTTCAAAAATTTAAATGCAATTTTAATCGTTATTTACTGTCTTCTTGATTCTTCTTTTATTGTTCTTGCTCCTCAATAATGTTTTTTTTATGTAACCATGCAAAATAAAAAGGCAAAACAAAAAAGAATAAAAAAAAGACAAATATAATCATTTTTAAAAATATTTATTATACAAATGTACACAATTTGTCTTAAATAAAAGGCAGTAAAGATTTATACAGATGTATATAAGACATACGCACATGGAAAAATATATATACATGTATACAAGTATATATATATATATATATATATATATACACATACAAACATGTGTCTGCATGGCCGAGCGGTTAGAATGTGTTTTGCTTTCCGACTATGAAACCTGGGTTTGGATCTCGCCAGGGTCGATATGTCAGGAAGGTGACTTCTAGATCCTATCGGTCTGGGAAGGAGATCCCAGAATGCAGTACCTTTGGAATATACCACGGTTGACTCAAGCCTTGTGAGCAGAATTGGGTAGACTGAACTGTTCAGAAGTCGTCGATGGTTGTGCTAGCACAAAGTCACAAGTCATCGTGACCGAGGGTGTGAGCATACTGGCATTGTTCATGAAATATTATGTGCTCTCTCCCAGAAACTGTAACTAATGTCTGCTCAACTTAGCTGCAGCATAAAAACCACGTGTGGGTTCCGTGTGTTTAACTAAAATGTGCCTGAGCTGGTGTCTGTAACAAGGATTGGCTTGCCGCCCTAGCAGACGGGTGTGCTTTGAAAACGAGTAGCCGGCCATACAAACATGTGGGTGGGTGTGTGTTTGTGTGTATGTGTACACACACACACGTACACACACATGTAAAATATCTACATTTTTAGTTAACTGTTAATTGAACTCTTTTCACGTTTAATTACAAATGACACGTGCAATTCGATTATCAGATTATGTTTTATATGATGGAATACAAGAAATGACATTTCAATCACGCCTCGAATGAAAACAATTGAACTTTGAGTTGAGTCACTTAGCTTAGCATGGCACAAGGCCATATAACTGAGTTGAGTGTTGCGAAGACAAATGAGTTACAAACTGAGCAGTTCGGAAAGCACAAAATGAGCAAATAAAAAAATTGATCGTGTACAATAAAGAAACAAAAAAAAAAAACACATAAAATGTCTTATGACAAATATTAGGTTGAGTTATAACAAATGTTATTTTTAAAGGACATCCATATTTGAGTAAATGCTTTATTCATTTCTTAAACAGTATATTTATTTATTTCCATCTACTGGCCTGAATATTTGAGAAATTTTTATTAGAAAAATATGTGTCCTCCGGCAGGATTCAAACCTGTGTTCCAAAGTCATTAGATCTTATGTGCTTTTGAAAACATATCTTTCCTAATTCTTAAAATGTACAATGTATATATATATATATATATATATATATATATATATATAATATATTTTTTTATGTTTATATGTTCTTTTTATAGATACAAATATTTAAGTTAAAGTAAATGCTATGTTTATAATAAACAGTATTAACAACATTTACTGGCCTGAATGTCCGAGAAATTATTTATTATGTTATTATAAACAGAGCATTTACTTAAATATTTGTATCTATAAAAAGAAGGTATAAACATAAAAAATGTCTTAAATAATTATCGGACTTTTTCCATTTCATAATGTGTGTGTATATATATATATATATATATATATATATATATATATACTGGTTATTAAATAAACAGAATATGTACACAAATATGGATATTCATTAAAAATAATGTTTAAGCAAGAAATTGGAAAAAATTGAGTTATAAGTAATTTCCATTTTTGGGAACCAGTTGTATTATTTTGAAAAATAAAGTTTATAAACAAAAGCAGAAATTATTTATGACTCAATCTAATAGATATGGAAAAGAAATTTACTATAATTAAAAAAAAAAGAAAAGAAAAAGAATTGAGTCATAATTAATTTCCGTTTCTGGGAACCAGTTGTATCATTTTGAGGAATAAAGTTGACAAAAAAACCCCCCAAAAAACCAAAGTTATTTATAACTCAATGGATATGACAAAGAAGAAATCTTACTAAAGTTTAAAAAAAAAAAAAAAAATTGTGTGCAGGTGGTTGATTTTTTTTCTTCTTCGTTTATTAAGTACTATATTCAGTTTAAAATTCAAGTAGTAATGTTTTATAGTGTCCAGCTATCACAGAAATATCATTCAAGGCTTAAGAGTCTTGAATTAAGAAAAGTGTCTTTTACAAAAGTAAGTCCCAATTCTCAAAGTCATGTAATTGTTTCCAGGCTTAAACAATAAGATATTCACACTTATCAAAACATATAAAATTTAACATTTAAAAAAAATGTTCAGAAAATTATTTTTTTTTTTTACTGAATGACATCAAAAATAAATGGAAGTAAAACTTGGAATGAATTAATCTTTCAGAAATTCACTGGTCAAGAAAATTCCATGATACCAAAGAGCTTATCCAGATAGAACTGACGTATGGTTACTATAGTAATGACATGTGACTACTACAGTAATGACATATGACTACTATAGCATTAATTGACATATGATTACTATAGAATGACATATAATTAGCTAACATATGATTACTATAAAAATTACATAATTAATATAGAAATGGCATCTGATTACTATAGCATTAACTGATGTCTTATTACTATAGTGAGGGAATATGATTATTATAGGAATGACATTATTATAATGACATCATTACTATAGTAATGACATCTGATTACCATAGCATTAACTAACATGAATACTATAAAAATGACATATGATTACTAAAGTAATGGCATATGATTACTATAGAATTGACATATAATTACTATAGGATTAACTGATGTATGATTACTATAGAAATAGCATGATTACCATAGCATTAACTAACATATTACTATAACATTAACTTTTTTTCAGTCATTTTTATCATTAAGAAATTATATGACATTCTTTAGCATATTCTTAAAAATGGCAAATTTTGGATTTTCAGTTTGACTTCAAACTGAAATGTATAGGTAATAATTCATTCAAAGAATATTTTCAGAAGAAAAAGCACATTGATGATACCAAAGAGCTTATTCAGATAACAATGACATATAATTACTATAGAAATGACATATGATTACTATAGAAATGACATATGATTACTATAGAAATGACATATGATTACTATAGAAATGACATATGATTACTATCGCATTAGATTTTTTCAGTAATTTTTATTAATTTAAGAAATTATATGACTTTCTGTAGTATATTACTAAAAATAGCTAATTGTGGATTTAAGTTCTTGTTTTAAAGATTGCTAAAAACAAACTAAAATGCACTGGTAACATTTCATCCAAAGAACATTTTCAGGAGGAAAAAAAAATATCAGATTAAGTTTCATCTAAGATGTAATTAAATAAATTGACGAAGAAAGACTCCAAATGTGGTAGATAATAAGTAGATTAATGAAAATTAATCAATAAATACAAAACTTACTTTGTATAAGTACAAATGTCGTATAAAATACAACGAAATGATTTATCATTGCTGTTTTTATTGTGTTCATTGGTCTGAAATATTTTGAACCAACAACTACACATTCTGCAGTTGTATGCAAAAACTGTTCCTTTTAGAAACAAACAACAACAAAAAATTTGGTCAAATGCAGATATTTGTACAGGTGTTTCATAAGTGTATTAAAGATCTGTGTGGGCAAGATGAATGGTAGGTAGAAGTAACCAGCTAGTCAATCTCGGTTTAGTAGACGATGAATGTCAAATGGTGTCAGATGATCTGTAGAACTGTAGAACCAACCAGGAACAATAATCTTCTTTAATTTTTAAAACCATGTTCTTGTCTGAAATAAGAGAATAAAAAAAAATTGTATTGATTTTCAACAATTAAATTTGACTTTTTCTTTAGAATTAATAATGCTTTTAAAAACTCGAGTTATGTCCTTAATCTCATCAAATCAAGACTTTCATATAAATTTCATTCATGACACCAGACTTGTTCAGAAATATGTAAATTCTCAAATGCTTTCTGAAATCAATGATTAAAAATGCTTTAAGTGAGTGAAGAATGTTGGTCTTAGCAAGGACCATATTTCTTCGAACATTGTGAACTGGAGCTACATAATTACAAAGAATTGTACGGAATAACAAAAAGCACATACATTGAGGACTTTCAATAGCAGCAACAACTAAAATGAATAGTTGAAGAGAAATTAATGACATCATCAAGATGTTGTCATTCAACACTACCTCAAACAAAATGTTAAGAAGGAACCCACTCAATAATAGAAATGACAATAGCATTTACTTGACGTGAAAGACCTATTTTCCTGAGAAATTGTTTTAATAGATATATTATGAATTTCAACAGAAAGTAGTAGTAGCTGTTCGGGCAAAGTTTTCCTTATGAAGAAACAGCTAATATTACCATTATCATTAGAGATGAGAACAGATACTACACTTTGATCCTCACTCAAGTGAGCGAAAAAAGTGTAATAGCAACACTGACTGCTTGGTCAATAAATGCCAAATGTTACCTTTATGAGGAAACATTTAATATTACCATTGCTATAAAAGATGATGGGAACAGATACTACGCATTTATCCCAGACTGATGGCCAGGGAGAGATTGAAGAAAAGCATAACTTTAGTAGCATTGACTGCATGGTCAATGAATGTCAAATGTTTTCCTAATAAGAAAACAGCTAATATTAAAACTATGATTATGATTGATTATTTATATGGGCCCTCCCATAAAAAAATGCTTTCAGGGGCAATTAATTAGCATAGACCTCATACAACTATCTAATTATATATATATATATATATATATATATTTCATTAAATACGGCTGCCAAGGAAGATCTAATTAATTAATAATTATCACAAAGTAACAACATCAGAAATAAAATAGCCTTGAAAATGGGTATATAAGTGACTGAAAGCGCTTCGGACAATAAAAATCATGGAAAATTTTTGTGCTCACTTACCCCTACAAAATTGAAAAATGTAAGGATTGCAGGAAGGACTTAATAAAAGATTAATCAAATCTTCCTTGTCAGCCCTATTTAATGAAAGATGTTTGAAAGAAAGGTTGCTGCCCAAATATACATTATATATAGATAGATAAATAGAGTGAGTGAGTGTGAGTGAGAAAGAGAGAGAGAAAGAGTGATAGAGTGAGTGAGAGTGATAAAGTGATAGAGTGAGTGATAGAGAGAGAGTGAGTAAGAGAGTGAGAGAAAGTGAGAGTGATAGTGTGTCTCTGTGTGTGTGTGTGTGTGTAAGAGAGAGAGAGAGAGAGAGAGAAAGAGAGAGAGAGAAATATCCATTGAGACATAGGAAAAACTGAAACACTAGACAGGTTGATCAGAATTTTGGGTTGCAGTGTGTGTGTGTGTGTGTGTGTGAGTCTGAGGGGGAGTATCAATACATGATGTAGGCAAATGAGAGAGAGAGAGAGAGAGAGAACAAGAGAGAGAGTGAGCAAGAGTGTTTAAAATAAAATTCAAAGCTAATTATCATCACACTCACCTTAGAGAGATTTGTTTCGTCTGGGTTGTATCTGAGCAAAACTGGGAATCTTTCTGCGTTTTTCTAAACTATGAAAATTTAATGTTGCTTTCTGTTGTGAATGTTGGTGGGTGGAAGCATTGAAAGCCATCATTTGGCACACTACTTCTTTGACATTTTCTTCTGTTACAGCCTGTACACCAGCAGCTGAAAAGACAGAAAAATATTTACAATAAAAATGGCTGATATAGAACAGACTATAAATAAAATGGCTGATATATACATAAAAATATATAAAATGGCTGATATACAGCTAACAAAAAATTAAATTTTATGATATGCAGATAGCAATAAATAATATGGAGGATATACAACTAGCAATTTGTTTCATAGTCATTACTTTGTTTCATAGTCATTACTTTGTTTCATAGTAGACAAGACATACAAGTTCATACTGTTATATAAAAAAAAAATTTCCGAACTCACTAATAAGGAATAACATTCTGGTTACTGAAACTTTTAAACTAATTTTGTATTTTCCTTTTAAATCAATTCACCCCAATCAAAAGCAATAATGCCACTTACACACAAATGGCTACTGGAGGTAAGATAGAAGGAATAGTGTTGTGATGTGGAGTCTGGCAAGACACAACACTCAAGATGTGACAGGCTTTCTATTTATATGGATTTATATATATATGTATATATATATATATATATATATATATATATATATATATATTTCTAAAAAGGAGAAGAATTTTTTGGTATTAAATAACCCTTTGTGGTTGATATGCCATAAAGCAAAGCAAAGCAAATCAAGACATGACAGTAGTATTCAATACTTAGCTAGACAAGTCACTGGAATCTTCTTCAGTTGACGATTACCTCAGGCTACTTGTCATGAATGGATCAGTCCATTCATGATAGAAAGGAGGGTAACTGGCTCTTACCACAACTAAAAAACTTTAGAAGGAACCGGAAAACCAATCCTAAATGATTAAAAAGAGGTAAATCTTAACTCCTGTTCAAAAGACTGTGGGGAGTGTGAACCAGATAATTGGTAAACTTATCTATTCCTATTGAGAAAAAAAAAAAGAAAATTAAATTAAATTTAAAAAATGAATTAATATCAAATAAAATTTCAGAGTTTAAGCAGAGAGATGTTAGAAATATAGAGTTAAAGTAGACTTTAGAAGGAGCCAGAAACCCAATCCTCAAAAGGAAACAAGACATCCAAAAGACTGGTGAGGAGTGTGAACTGGATGATAGGCGAAAATATCTACTCCTATTGAGTTAAAAAAAAAAAAAAACACATGAAGTGTCACTATATTTTATTCAAAGTGTTGTTCTCATCTTGCTTTTTATAGATGTTATTACAAACACAACGTTTCAACCAAGTACACTCTGGTCATCATCAGGTGACTACCGTTTGGCCAATATGCGATAGCTGTTGATTGCGTTATTTTGTTGCTGTGATGCAAAGTACTGATCATTCCTGCTGAACCAAATTTTCACCACCTGATTTAGGAACTGAACTTATAATAACAAGATAACAGTACCACATGTATAACCAACTTCTATATCAACCACACCACCATCACCACACCATCACCACACCATCACCACACCATCACAAAAGAGCTGTATTTTTGGATTGTAAACAGGACAATGAAATGACAATAATACATATTTTAATAAATGTCTATATTCATTATACCACTATCACAGCAGTGATGTATTTTTGGAGCCTTTTATATTCACTCACAAATGGTTTTGGTATATGCTTATCATGGTGAGTTTGAAACACTTTCCCATATTTTGCTGTTCAATTTTGAGATAAGGAACTGTCAATATTCTTTAATTATTTTCAAACTATTGTTCCCATCTTGGTTGAAATAGATGTTTCAGCCAAGTACTCTCTGGCCATCATCATTTTTTTTTTCTTTTGCTAATATAAAATATATGTAGATCATTGTGTTATTTATATAATAAATTATATGTTTATGGCAGGATAAACTTTGAAAAGCAGTGTAGGCATACTTTTCAGAAATTCAGATGGAAATTAAATTAAAACAAGTTAAATATTGTCTAATCATGTTGATTGGCAAAGGTCAATTATGAAACCTGACTTCAAATGCCAAATAATAATAATCAATAAAAAAAAGTTTATGAGTTTATTTATAGTTTCAACTGAAGTCATAACATTGCTTTTATACAGCAGGTAAATTGGCTGTTGGTGCCCACAAATGAAAATGTATCAGAAAATGACATGCACAAGATTGTAATCGACACGAGAGATAACTCGTAGTTAAGGTCATAATAAAAATCATGAATCAGTGTGTTAATAGTCTAAGAAGGAAACAGAAGATACCTAGTTATAACAAAGACAGTTATCTTCATATTCAGTGGAGAGCTGCCATATATATATATAATTTAATTTAATGAAAACAAATAACTTTAAGGGTCCATGGTTATAATTTATTTCCCCAGGAAGTTTCTTTTTCCCTGGATCATCAGACCTCACTTCCAAGGATGAAAAAATGAATCCATTTTTTCATCCTTGGAAGTGAGGTCGGTAACTATTTATATTGTTCAGACTGTTTTTCTCATCTTTACTGTGACATTCAAATTAAGGATTCATTTTGAAATTCCAACAAATATAACCTGAAGATGGCGGAAGCATACAATGGTCGAAACTTCCTGAATGTGACAGTAACGATGATGACAACATTGTAAATATTGTAAAATAATACAATACATTTTGCGTGAGTATTTTGTTCTTCATTACTGTATACCTACTTTTTCATCTACCTGTAGAGTGATCTACTAAGCCAAGCTTAAATGTGGCACAAGGTCAAAAGTATGGAGCACTGAATAAGGATTAAACTCACTACTCAGTTGTAATTGATTTTGAGAGACAAGCTTGCTACCCATAATATCACATTGAAATGCCCTTGGATGGAATATAGACATCAAATAGAAACTGTATCATGTTTCAAGACAGAACAAAAAATACTAGTGAACAAACCGAAAGTAAAATAATCTTTGTTACCAAATAAAAATATAACTCATACATTTGCACTGAATTTAAAGAATTCTAAGAGCAGTAGACATTTTTTTTTAAATTTCATATTCTCTTTTTAATTATTTCACCCCAAACAAGGTGATAAAGCCACTAAGACACAAGATGTTACTGAGTATAAAAGAATCTGAGAAAAAAACATTATTAAGGAGAGAGGACAATAAAAGAACAGGAATTAAGGAGACATATGATAAATGACATTGTTTTTAAATTTTTGAAGATCTACGTCGATTAGAATTCAAGAAGCCAGAAGAGAGTTCCGCAAGTAAGAAGTTCAAGACAAGAAACTGTTAGCATAGAACTTATGGCTACATCTGGACATTTCAACTATAAAACGATGAGACCTCACTGCCAATCTAGTACTGCGATTAAATGACTAAAGTTGAGGGACAAAAGAGGAAATCTCATCCGAACAATTAACATGAAAATATTTACAGAAATGGCACAGGGAATCTATATTATGGTGGTGGGAAAGTGACTGAAGCCATGATGCCATGGCAGATTCTTCTTAGGATTTCATCACGAATCTTTAAATGCATAGCATTGGACCATATGTGGCAGCAATATTCAATGCATGGAGGAATGGTAGCATTATAAAGGTGTAAGGTAGATTCTGATCAGTAAAATTGTCTAGCATGACACATGAACCAACTTTCCTAGCAGCAGACTTAACAATTGATTCAATATAATCTCTCCATTTCATGTCAGTTGAAAATTTTTGCCCAAAAAAGAGCAATGAGTCACTTTCCTCAAGGTTAGCATCAGCCATGTTGATGGAAGGCAAAAAAAGGTTCTCTAAGACGATATCAGATCAATATTTAGCAAATTTTCATCAATTTTAACATTTATGTAAAAAAAAATATATATATATATCTGTCATGATGAAACACTGTTTTACTTGGATTTTACAAGCATTTTACAGGTAAATTTGTCACCAGGTTCTTAAATTTCAGCTTTCTTGGAGAATTTTCTCTTGTAATAATTTGGGAAACTAAGCAAAACAAATGAAAACATAAAACTTTAGGTAATCTAAATAAAAACAGTTAGGTTAGGTGTAAACACATTTGACAAAATTTAAATTTGAGAATTCCTCAAAAATTTAAAAGTTTTAAAAAATATTTAAGTGAAAAAATCTAAAATTTAAAGCTTAAAGATTTTCTTTAAAATATTTTTAAGATTTAAAAAAAAAATTCAGAACTTAAAAAACCTTTTTTAAAACTTAAAAAATATTTAAAATTTAAAAAAGAAATCTTAAAACTAAAAATTTAACATTTCCAAAAAAATTTAAAACTAGAAAAATATTTTTTAAATTAAAAAAAAATATATATATAATATAAATTTACTGTAGATTTCTTAGCAATCTTGGGTAAATAAAAGTGCAAGATCTCTTCATATACTCACATACACTTTTTTTGTAAAATAAACAACTCGCTACATACCATATATACTTGGATGTGAATATAAGCTGACCCTGCCACCCATTTTAGCCTGAGAAATGGGCAAAAGCCAAAACTCCATGTATAAAACAAGGCTGCTGATCAACACATTATATATTATATATTTATGAACAAAGATAATGGCTTGCTTGTAAATAATGATAACATCTCATCCTGGAAATCCAGACAAAAGGTGATCAGATGATAATAATAACAAAGATGAGAGCAATAGACTGCATGTAAATAATACAAGTAATGATAACTGCTCATGCCAAAAATTCAGATGGAAACTAACTGTAAAACTGCTATTGATTATACATAATTTACTCTTTCTAATAATAACCCCAGCTATGGATTAAATAGTTGATTAGACTGTGCTTTCTAGCATTAGACGCTATAGACAACTTTGAACTCAAAAACACAGAGAAGGAAACAGGAAAATGCTCCACTATCTTGCCTAAGAAGTCAAGTAATATATATATGGAGAGAGAGAGAGAGAGAGAGAGAGAGAGAGAGAGAGAGAGAGAGAGAGAGAGAGAGAAAAGAGAGAGAGAGAGAGACTTTGAACTCAAAAAAAAAACACAGAGAAGGAAACAGGGAAAATGCTCCACTATCTTGCCTAAGAAGTCAAGTAAATATATATGGAGAGAGAGAGAGAGAGAGAGAGAGAGAGAGAGAGAGAGAGA